GTCCTAGTTGCATAGGGAGAAAACTTAATCACGAAGAAAATTATGGGGATTATTTCTTCTTACGGTAGAATTACAAGTAGGAGGAGGTAAACGCAAGGTATATCTACGGAAAAGTAAATAAATAACAGTTTCTCAACATTTCAATAAAGGCAGGACTACTGATTAACAACACTGTGGGATTCTGATGCAAAAGTCAATTTTCTTACCTTGTTTGCCGGTGATGACCGGACACTCCTTTACTTTATGATTGATAGAACCGCAGTGCTTACAGCATCCTCCTAAATTCAAAATTTTTAAACAAAAAATGAACGCTAATCAAAGTACCGTCCGGGTAGAGGCCTTTCAAATTTTTCTGACATTGTCGCGACAGATGTCCCTCTTCGCCACAGACAAAGCATTTGGCAAAAGGAAATCCTAAAATTTAATATTAAATAAAACTGTTCGTACGAGTGAATAACGTACAATTCACTGTTTCAAAATATGAATTACAAACAGATGCTTTATCCCAGAAAAAGAAAAGGAAGGGAAAGATTTTCACCCTTAATATGTCAGTCTTACTTCATTTTCATGATTGGACTATTTTGGCGTCCCTCTTATCATAAAGTTAAAAAGATTTCCGTTTTTATGCTATCAGCCAGGAGTACTTTGTTTTAAAGGTTTAAAATCTACAGCCATGTGGCAAACAAAGAGTCTCCTGTTTCCTTTCCACAAAGTGGTACTCTTTCGTCAACCTCGAAAAGGAAGAAGGATCAGCTACCATGATATCGAGGCTGATCACATATGATATCACATCGGACTCTGGACTTACCACATCTGAATTTGAGGCTATAACGACTAGCAGCCCCGGTCTGAAGCAATGTGTGGTAAATTCCGTGCTCAAGGAAATTGTGAGCGTAATCGAACAGGGCACCTCTGGAGCTTGAAGTAGACCTCTTACTAGACACTGTGCCAACACGATACAGAAAAAGAGAATATCATCACAAAGAGCAAATCGTGCAGGACGTAGAATTTTGCAGAACAGCTTCGTAGCCAATGCTAAGAACAACGTTCTTAGCAACACGCTAAAAAACAAAGCGAAAATAATTGTGAATGCATGAGGATAATAATTACGTAAAACAAACACAAAACTTCAGAAAAAATGCAGCAGTATGAAAGATTCTAAACAATCAGCAGAAAAGTGCAAACAGAATTGGTTCAAAGACCGTTAAGTCAAAACTGAGCGAACAGTGGTTCAGCACCACTGACTTTTAAAGTCTATAAAGTTTATACAGTTTATAAAGTTTATATTAAGGATACATGATTTAGTCTACTCACTGAGAGGCGATGAACAGTGGATCACATGAGATCATATGACAAATTTAAGAAATTCTTTTCCTTAATTTTTTGTATTGCTAAAAATGTTCGTACTTGTTT